AGGCTGCATTAATAGAAGTATAGTATCTAGAGCAAGGGAAGTAATAGTAACACTGTATTCTGCTTTGATCAGGCCCCACCTGGAATACCGTGTCCCATTCTGGGCACCACATTTTAAAAAGGATGTTGAAAAACTGGAGCGTGTCCAGAGGAGGGCAACTAGTCTGGGAACTATGCCCCATGAGGAATGACTTAGGAACTGGGTATGTTTAGCCTAGAGAAGAGATGGTTAAGAGGTGATATGATAGCCCTGTTTGAATATTTGAAGGGATGTCATATTGAGGAGGGAACAAGCTTGTTTTCTGCTGTTCCATAGAACAGGACCTGGAACAATGGATGCATGCTCCAGGAAAAGAGATTTCACCTCAACATTAGGACGAACTTCCAGAGAGTGAGAGCTGTTCAAAAGTGGAACACACTCCTTCAGAGAGTGGTGGACTCTCCTTTTTTGGTGGTCTTTAAACAGAGGCTGGATGGCCATCTGTTGGGGATGCTTTGATTTTGAGTTCCTGCATGGCAGGGGGTTGGACTGGATGGCCCTTGTGGTCTCTTCCAACTTTATGATTCTATGATTCCATGATCCATCAATTGAAAGTTCGGTAAAATCCAATTTACTGTCTTGCGATCTGGTCCTAAGAGACACTATATTATCAGCTTGTTTTTGTTGTTGTCAACAATCTTAACTTTAGTGTTCAGTTTTGAGTTTTCAGTTATCTTTGCACTTTAAGATCTTTTCTAGCTCCTTCATAGCTGCCCTTCCCATTCCTAGTCTTTTTCTGACTTCTTGACTGCATTCTTTGTTATGGTCGATGGTTGAATTTGTGGTCATTATTTTAGCCTCCCTTAGCACTTTCTTTAGAGATTGTTCCAGATCTTTGTTGTTTTGTTGGTAGTAGTATGGTGTCATCTACATATCTTGTTTTGTGTCTCCAAGTCATTTTTAAGGGTTTTCTGGGGAATTTTCATCAGAGGGAGTTTGCTATTGCCATTCTCTGAAGCTGAGAGATTGTGACTTGCCCAAGGTCACCCAGTGAGTTTTTGTGCTCAAGCAGGGATTTTAACCCTGGTCTCCCAGAGTTGTAGTCCAATGCTGAAACCATTACACCACGCTGGCCCTCCTTTATATCTTAGGTTAGATATAAAGGAGGGCCAGAATATAGAATTCTATATCTTATTCCTTGATATTCCTTCCTCTAATCTTCAGTCCTTCTTTCTCTGAATCTTAGATTCTCTGCCAACTGTTGAGATAAATTAATTTCCCAAATGAATACAATTTGTGGGTGTTCTTTGTTTGGGGATAACACCAGCTATGCTAGTACTCACTATGGAGACCCCAGTCATGAGGAACTATACATACATTATACTATACATTATACATTAAGAAAATGTATAGATAGTACCATAGATACTAAGATAACACATACAAATCACAGCATACAAAGCTAACAGAATTCAGGAAAGGAAGGGAACAGAGGAAATTGATGGTTGGTTGAGGCAATAGATACTTGTCTTGAAGACAAAGGTCCACTGAAAGCCAGGAAGAATGAAGCCTCAAGCTGTGAGATTTGAGCATGCAGGTTTTGGGAGAGGATGGGGAACAAAGGACTCAGACAAAAGCCTGAGGATGACAGTATGGTGAATAGGATGTCCAGTTGGTCAATCAGGAGGAAACTGAGGGCCAACCAATAGATTTCAAGCTGGGATAGTTGGGGATTCGAGAGAGTTGACAGAGGAGGGGGGTTCTAGTTAAGCCAGAGAGAGAGAGGGCTGCATTTCTGGGAGTTTCTGAGGGAACTGAAAAATGTGTTTGTTGGAGTCCAGACGGGAGGGACTCGGGACACATACAGAACTCTAAGGGAGGGAGTTCCTGTTGTGTTATATCCTGAGGGATATTGCTAGCTTGTGTGGCTGACATATTAAAAGGGAATTGGAAACAAACGTTGTTTATATGTAACCAAGAGAAACTATAGTCACAAGCTTTGATACAAGTTATATTCATTCCATTCTGTTCTAAAATAAACTTTTACTCTCCTTTAAACATCACTTGGCCTATGTTTCCAAACCAAATTGTGCTACTAACTTTTAAAAGCTTTTGAGGGTGGGGAAAAAACAACCCAGGACTGCCATCTTAGAAAGTCAGTGCAAAGGTGAAAGGTGGCAAGAGGATTCGCCACAGTCATTCATTCATGTGGGGAAAAACAAGCTGCTGCAACTATAGCAAAAAGGTTTAGTTTGGAGAATATTTATGTCCTTAACCCATGAGAGTTCCATGGGAAACCCAAAAGTTTGATTACCTCTGATGGAACTTGAGGTCTCTAAACTGAAGAGTTAGTCTGAACATCTGGGAGCATGAGAAGGTTCAATTGTGACTGCTGATGCTTCAATAACTTTACAACACTCAGACAAGATCTGAGTTCCCAAAACTTAGAGGATAGGTGTGTGGTGTTGGGGAACACATAAAATATGAAAGGGGATTTTGGTTTTGTCAGTTTCCTATCAGAAATGTGGAGAAGGGGTGCAGCTGTGTTCTTTCTTGTAAGCTTTCTTACATGCAGGCTACATGCAATTCACATCCCCTATATCCACTGCTATGTGGGTCAATCATATACATGTCCACTCATGTTAGCACTTTTAATGTATCAAATAATATATGAATTGATAAATGCATAAGGAATATTTGGAGCATTATAGAAGAAGGCAATGGCAAACCTCTTCGGAATAAATCTTGCCAAGAAACCACTGTGATAGGATCACTTTAAGATTGCCATTAAACTGGAGTTGAATTTAAGGACCTAAAAACAAACAATCATTTATGAATTTAGACATGTCAAAAACAAACTCCCAACCTCTGTTAAATACCTGCAAGGAGTGAGAGATGTGGAGTGAAAGATCTAATCTAGAATTTGTTGGGACTTCAGTTATCAATTATTCTAATCCCATAACACTGGCTATGCTGCCCAGATCTGATAGGAGCCTACAGTCAGCGACATTGGGACAGGCTGGAGTTGCTCATTCCCAATCTAATCTGTACCAGCAAATATGCATGGATGTTGATACTTAACACATGAATGCCACATGGATAAAATAGGTTTTTTAAACAATTACGGTATTTTTATTGTCAGCTGCTTCAACACTACTTTCCCCATAATCTTGGTGATTGAAGTGAATTATCATGTATACCTAGATGAAGGAGTCTGTAGATAACTAAACTAGAAAGTATTCAAACCTGTTTACCCCGGACCCATAACGTGTGAAAACACAAATATTTATATAGCTCATACCATGTATCACTGGATCAGTCCAAGGTTTCATGTTCATTTCCTACAGTGGCCCACCATAGGCTTCTAGGAAGCCCACAAGCATTCTAAGCATGAAGAAATTAGTCTTTCCTTGCCGCTCATCCTCAGTACTTCACATTATGTGATATATTACCCTAAATATGAATAAAATAGAGTTCTGTGCAAATCATGCTGGCCACATGATCACAGAGTAGTCTCTGACAATGCTGGCTCTTTGGCTTAGTAATGTCTATGAGCACGGCTCCCTATGGTCGGACACAACTTAACCTTGTCAATGGGGAATATCTTTACCTTTACCTACCCTAAATATGACAGTTTCATTTAGTGAATTATCATCCCAAAAAACCTTTCCAAACCACGACATCATAATTTCCAAGTTGTAGTGAGCTAACCCTCTACTGCTGGGCAGATGAGTTTCTGAGTCTTTATTAACATCATACACAAATGTTTGCAGTATGGCAGTGGAAGGTGATTAGCAAGGTCAAGGTAATTTTCAAAAAAACAAATAATTTATTATTATTTTTTGCATCAACACAGTAGCTATTAGATAACTTATGCTGGTATATCTGTTGACAAAGAGATAATGGTATTGATTTGTGGCTCAGAATGTTTGTTGTGTTTCCTTAAAGGGAGGTAATAGCTACAATGTGGTTTCTTGATAGAGAAATCTCTTTGGAATCTTCTCAAGGAAGAAGTATGTCACTTTGGGGAAACCCATTCAAGATGTAAAATGGTACAAAGGGGCAGTAACACTAGTATGTAATCTTACTGTTAATTTGAACTGGGGTGATAGGTGTTTTCTGTGGCTGTGATGTGTGACAAGCAGATTTGCTCATGCTACTTGCTCCACATATGTTCTACATGTATATTTGTAAATAAACCAAATATTGTGAAATGCCATAAAGTTCTGGTAATTTCTCTTTTAAAGAAAGCTAGTCACAAGTAGCAATGACCTGGAACTTCACACCATTTAGAAAATCGTAGAACAATTCACTTTTTAAAATTATCAGTCATGTAAGATGTCTTTTATACATCTTGTATACCATTCGAGCATAATTCAAAGTGTTGGTTATGATCTGTGAAGTCCTATACATCTTGAAACCTTTCAAGGACACCTTTCTCCCTTATGATGCAGACTATGTTTCATGATCTTTAAGGGAACCACTTCTCTCTTCCCATTAATCTCAGAAGCCCATTTGATACAGATGCAAGACCCCTTGCCCAAAGAGGCTATAATGGGCCCAACTCTGCTGTCTTTTTGCTGAGAGGCTGCTAAGCTTGGCCTGTATTGAAAGGTATTCTCATTGGTTCAGTGCTTTTGTTTTTTTCCTGTTGGTGTGTGGCTAAATTGTGTTTTAATCTATTTTTAAGTTTTAGTTGTATTTGTTAATTTCATTACTGTTAGTGATCTTGAATGTCATTTTACGGCAGAAAGGCAGGACATAAATCCAAGAAATAAATAATGAGAACGATGCAGCCATGATCACAGCCAGCTCACCACACATCAACCACTTCACCTTCATCTTTCTTCCCATGGGAATGTTCCCACATCCACAGTCATGGGGATAAGGTAGAAAACCAAGCTCACAGATTTTTACTTTTTGCTTGATATAAAATAAATGAAGACAGGCATGAAAAGCTCTGTATGAATGGATAGATAGCAGCAAGAAAGTGAACTTCTAACCACAAGCCAAATTTGAACTCCAGAAGTTCTAAAAGGGACAGAAATGGTTGGGAAAAGGCAACTGTGGCAATGAAAATCCTGCCCAGAGTAATACCACAGATTCAATTAATAGCAACCTTTGCAGATGGGACCACACATATAAATGTACCCACAATTACATAGTGTGAGTGTGAGAAGAAAATCAAATGTATGCCTACTGTGTACTATGCACCATTAAATCTGAATTAGAGTGGGTGACTCTTACCAACTCTTTCTCAGTCACAAAAGAGACTATGTGTTTCCAGATACTGTGCACTGTCTGAGATGTGTGCTATAGTAAAGAATAATTGTAATCAAAATTATAAAATTGGTTTGGCCAGATGTGTTTTGAATAATTTTAAAGGATTTGACCAATAGAGCAACCATAGCCCCCAGATCTGCTGGACGAATGGGGCTCAGAGGAAATACCTTTCCACTCGTTGAGAGCATTTCCATCAAAGCAGGCATATCTACCCCAGTAACCCCCAATATATCCACAATATACTTCTGTGACTGTAGCAATAGCACTACTGCCCAGCAGTATTTCCAATGGCAGTAGGAGCTTCAGCAGGGAGGTCCAGGGTTAGCAGGGTTCTGTGAATGAAGTTCTCACTTCCCTGAGGATGATGAGATGTGCAATGGTGCTACATGGTTTTCTGCTGAGGAATCAATGATCAGAGGACATAGCATCAATGATGCAGGGGAAACTAGGATGGCAATACAGGAACCCATCAATGGGTGGAGGGAAAAGTAACAAGGAAGCAGTACTAGCAGTACATACTGTATATACTCAACTATAAGTCGACTTCATGTATAAGTAGAGGGCAGGTTTGGGGAGCAAAATTATAGATTTTGACATGACCCATGGATAAGTGATGGGTAAAATTTAGAGGCACAAACAAAGGATCTAAAGGATGAAGCAAAGGAAAGCAATGCAAAAAAAAAAAAAAAAAACCTTGCAAAATCCTAGCAGGCAAGTTTGTGCTCATAGTAATGGCTGAACAGATGAGAGAATAGAAGAGGGTCAGTGCTTCCAGGAGAGATTATGTTCTTGCCTTTCACCAGGTTCCTTTTAAAAATAAGAGTTAAAGTACAGTACTTTACTCATGGATA